ATTTATTTAAATTAATGTAAAACAAAACAAGACACAAAATGTTATAAAACGAACTTTACAAATTGACTTTGGGTAACTGAGAGTAACACGTACCCTGTGGGAAAAAAAATGAAAAAAGGAAAACAGTACCGGTCAAATTTATTTATTTATCTGTTTTATTTAGAAACGATGGACACTCGTCTAAATGCATTTGTCATGTTACCTTTGTCAAGTCTTCGTTTCGCCATGCGTGACTTGAGACCACGTAAACAGCGCTTTCGCGCGGCTTTCCATAATAATCACGCGATCTTTGTTTCAAGTTAATTTACTTCCAAAGAATATTTCAAACCTTTCTGTACGCAAGCCCTAATTGATGATACTGGCAGTGTTTTAATATCAATGTCAAAACTACTGAAGCAGGCGGTTTTAAATCTTATTCTTTAGCAATACTAATTCGAAGACAATTAAGTCGTCGTTGAAATTCACCTGCCATCGGCCGAATCATGAAATAGAAATGGTTGAGTTCCATTTATTTTTTACTCTTGGCTTTTTAGGAGCCACTTTTGATCATTTGTTTACACCGTCACGAATCATTAAGAAAAATTTTATTTTACAAGGTCCATTGGATATTTTTCTTAATTAAATCCATGGTCTGACAGTACTTCTTCTGACAACTCAAGACTAATATCAAGCTATAACAACTAAAGACACTTTACCAGGTGTTTCTCGAGCTCCGCTTTAAACTGAAATTTTTTTGGCAAGTGAAATTCTGTACCATGTGAGTCTAGCCAGTGTCAATATTTAATATCCCCAACCTAATTTTCATGACTTGAGCCACGTATTTCCTTTCAAGGAATTGTTTATCGTATCTGAACAACAGGTAGGCAGATTTTCTCCAGAGTATTAACTTACTGACAGTAAATAAACACCAACGTTTCAGAATTAAATCCTCCGCGCATAGAGAGAGTTCTCAGAAAACTTGCTATTGATTGATCGGCCGGTATATTTTGAATCGTTTTTTCGAGTGTGACACTCGTGCTTTTTTTCTATCTTGATAAAGTTAAAACATAAGAGAAAGCAAAGAAAATCCAGGAGGGATTATGGATGTTCCTTCCCACAATGTACTAACGCGGGCGAGATAAATATAAATGGAAATTTTAGTTTGACTTGAGAGGCACAAATTTTTTTCAACCAAGAAGTCACTTTTTAGGCGCTTATGAACATGAAACAGGCTTCATTTTTTATTATAAAACACGCTTTTGTAAAACCATCTTACCAACTTGCATACGTGAGAAATCATGATACAAAGGTAAAAGACTCCACAGGGCCCTTTTCCGTAAAAAATATTTCGTAAGTGAATATTCCTAGATAGAAGGAATTTCATCACGAGAGATCACAAAATTGCCTACCTACGGACTCGGATGTAACTGAGTCTTCTTCCCACCGGTTCCTCAAAGGGATAAAATGTTGTTATGAACAGCAACCGACTATCGTTTGAACCAAGCGTGAAAAAATATAAACTGAGAATAAATATTCATGAGCAGATACGTCAGATGGATGTTCAATTTGCATTAAAAAACTATCAGATTTTTCGTTATACATCATATCTCGTTTGAACAAATTACTTCATCAATCTCATTTTCACCAGTTTTGAAGCCCCAAATCCTGCAAGTTTTAGCCGAAGTGAAAATGGGCAACACCGCTGATATACCATTCTCCAGATTCGCTGGAAGACTATATTGCAATTTTCAAATTTATTCATTTTCCGGTTTTGGAGTTCATAGTAAACGTAGGATGCCGTATGAATTGTCGTCTATAGGCAAGACATTGAAACCATCTGGCATACTTTACTAAATCTTTCTTCAGTGATATATATGTAGCCAATCAGTACGATGTACACTTTTTTACTATTATTCGAAAGTTGAACGGCGGTAACACTGTTTAGTGACGCCGATTAATATTTTGCCAGGTATTGATTATTTCTGTCGGTAATTGTTAGAAAAAAGAAGATTAGATAAATGTTGTCACTTCATTCACCAAAACTTCCAGAGACTATTTTTTACATTTCTGTTGCTCAAAAACCCTCAAGATGGACTGAAGGTAATAATCACGCCAATATCACTCCTTTCAGAATCGGCAGAGCGCCAACTGGCGTTTCCCGCAAGCAAATGCGAGACACTTTAATCTTGGTGTTATTTCCAGAGGGAGGGGAGGTCTAGGATTTTCTGCTTTAATCATCATTTTAGAGGGTCGGAGCCGCCGGACTTCATTAGGCTACTCACAACTAACGAATTTCTTCATTTGAAAATGCAGGATGATTAACAATTCCCCTCCTCCTTTTTCATTCTGTGCTACTACTGAGAGCCATTTATTATCTGAATGCCTGGAACTGTCTAAAATCATGAGCCACGACACCTCGATTACCACAAGGATCCATAAGGACCAATACCGAACGCAAAATTTTGTGTCTCGAATGGCAACATGTTCTAGCAGGGTCTGGTTGGTTCAGGACCTACAACAAACATTGTAAACTTCTAAGGATCGTTTAGCACATCCCAAAAATAGAATTCTCCACTGGGAGAAGAAATCTCCAGAATCGTAGGCGTAGGATGGCGTTAGTGTGACCTGAAGAAGTTTCGGAAACCGGGGACTCAGGATTATTTCATCAAGACAACGCGGCGAAGACGGGGCAGATAGAGAAGTAAAAGAAATTGACAACAAGACATGCAAGAATGAAACCAAAGCATTTAGCATCCTTTTTTTTCGGAAATATATTCTACTGAGCTGTACTAGTCAATTTAACGGCCAACTTAGACCTTAACTACAAAACAGACTCACGTTTTATTGTAATTGTTCATTACCACACACTGTTGGGCCACTCACCATAGTATCACGGATTATGAAATCAGCTGAATCATACCGGCGTTTTGACTGGTTCTTACTAGGGTTTCACTGGAAACGGGAGGAAAAGACAGACGCGCCTAGATGACGTCATCATAAGCAACAATTTGCTTCTTTATTAGATAGATGAATAAATAGATTCCATGTTGCCGCGAATTTGCTCAAAAACATCATAGAAGGCGTGTTGTGTGTATCATTTTTTGTCGTTACCACGGTTTGACGTCATCTGTGATCTATCATTCTACAGACGCATGACAACATAGAGTCTATGTTTTAACGATAGATAACGAATAGCGTACCCAATAAGATTGCGGTATTTGTGATAAAATGCAGTATACAATAAAACAAGTTGAGACGTGCTCATGCGTCACTGCCTTGAAAGGAGTACCGGAAGTTTAATCTCGATAAATAGAACATGGTACGTGACGGATTGATCAACAGGACTCACTAAAAGCGCGTCAACATTGACTTCGATGGATAAAAAAAGGCACTCTGTTGGGCAATGTTTTTTAAGGTTTGGAAGAACCCCTTGCAAAAAGTCGGATTCTGAAGAACAAGTAAAAGTTGACTTAGCCAAATCATAGACGCGTAGATCTTCCTTTTAAAGTCTCTAAAAATTGTGTGGCCCTTCGGTTCTTATGGAGATCGATCAAGCACATGCGACTAACTAAGTGATTTTTGTTGTTATTCTATCGCTTTTTCACTTTCGATTTGAATTTTTACTTTTTTTAGATACACTACAGAAAATGAAAGGCTCAGAGATGTGATCTCTTCATTTGGCGTGTTTAGAAAAAAAGATGTTTTTTAATCGGATCGAATCGGTTTGAAAGCGTATTAGATTTAATCACCTCAGAAACCTGAAGAATCGATACTTCAGCGTGATATGTTAAGGGATTTTCCTGATTAATCGTTCATGGTAACTAATTGGGGGATGAGTTCTAGTCTTAATTCATGTTTAAAAACGGAAGAACAAAATTTTTGAGTTTCTCTCTAATCTGGCAACAGATTAAGCAATGTTTTCGTCTTTTAATTATCTGTTTCTTTGAGATTAACATTGATAAACAAGAATATACGTGTGTAACTGCTTTGCCCGTTTGTGCTTCATTTATACGCTTAGTGGGTTGTACTCATTGAGACCGTTAGTACGGAAGTGGTCAGTCTTATCTTGTGGTGAGTTCGACCCTGGTTTTTATCGATTGTATAAAATTGCTCATACAAGAAATTCAAATGCCTACAATTCTGTCTCGTATATGAACCCACTAAGAGTCCTTATTACGCGCTAAATACCATAGTTTCTACCCAATTTCCACGATTTGCTGGTTGCTATAATACTGAATAAGTAAAAAATTAGCCTGCGATGTAATACCGATGTAATATCAGTGGCCTCTTTAACCTCTTTAACTTTTGCCAGTGAACGACGTTCAGCAATAAAATCCGCATTCTTCAGTGTTTTAGAAAAAGAAGGAAGTCTCTTCACAGCGTACCGAAATTTTGCATGTAACTCTTGCGAGAAAAGAAAGAATTGATCGGTTTGTAATTGGTCTCTTGAGTAGAGTAGAGTTTCATGTAGGTGTGTCTTACCAGGTTCATTTTAAGGACTGAGTTGCGCGTTGACAAAACTTCTTGATTTTCAACCTCTGGGTCACATAAGGAATGAATGAATTACTTCTGGTATTGCTATAATTCAATTACAGCACAGGTTCAGAAAATGAGAGTATTGGCAGAAAAAGGATAAATATAACTTTTGAACGTTAAGATGAAATAATCGCGAAAAGCAAAACAATAAAAAACGTGATCTTTTCCTGTCCTAAAACCACAAGCTCCATCACGCCTATGTTGGTTCCGTATCTTGCACGACTCAGGAAGTTCTAATTTCTAGGAAAAAATAGTTTTCTAGAAACATGGACAGCTTTTTAAGCTCGTAACATTGCTATTTGATTTTCATCTTTCTTCTTTTCATTCTTCTTCGTCTTCGATGTCAATCCCTTGGCCTTATCAGGACCTAACAGCTGTTTGATGACAAAAGTTTTCAGCCTCCCATCCCTAATTTGCGTCGATTTCCCCACCCACTCCCCCATGGTAGTCTGTTTATATTTCACACGCAGCTGACTTCTATCACGTTTAAGAGTAAATAGTAAGTGTACTTTAGGTTAAAAGTCTAAACGGTTCTTGGACCGAAATACACATGTGATAAAGATATCACGATTTTACGTGATGCGATTTGTATACACCAATCGATTTGATTGACGTCTGCGTGTAGTATCGCTGATACGCTAAACTTCGCCCATTGTTTCCTTCAACGCGGGAAAGGAGTTAGTGAATCTATCGACGATAGTAAAGCGCACGAAGGAGTTTAATCGAGGATTTTAAACATTTTTCGTCGATACCAGAGTGCATGAATTTGATTTTCGTCGAATTCTGCTTTGTTTTGGAAGAGTTTGGATCGGATACTACGCGTTCAAGGTCCAGCACTCTCGGAAGCTAAACGAGTATGTTTCACAACCACATGAAACGACGTAACCACATTGACAGAGAAATGTGATACGCTACACTTGATTACGCCCCAACAATAGCTGTGAAATTGTAAGCTGTTGGACGTCGCCACTCATATTGGAGGCACGAACAGCCATTTCAAATCCAAGAGTATGGGAGATCTTCGATTGCACTTTTAAAGATTTGACGACTTTTACGTTGAAAATGGTAGTACACTTGGTCAACATATGCCCTTGTTGTTATTGTGTGGCTTTGTTTACGCTTGTTGTGTTTCCATTCGTCGGATTTTGCGAGGGTAAGTGATTTCTCGCTTCTCGTCTGCATGCACTGTCTGCCCTTAGTGGTTGATTTCTCCTGTTGTGATGTTTACGGTTATTTTTGTTTATTTAATTGCATTAAATTCTGAAAAGAGTCGTCTGAGTTTCGATAGCAAGTGATGCATGAAAAATCATCCTGTATAGATCGCATGAGCGATTTCTTATATGTCTTCTTGATTTTATGTTATGTTCTAATGCTGACAAAATACCGATTCCTTGTTTTGGTTCATAATGCGAACATTTTCATATTTTTTACTCGGCTGCATACTGCGCATTTGAAAAGGTCTGAATCACGACACAAGGTTAAATACACACCATCGTATTTGATATGCACCGATCGCCTTCAATTTTCGAAACGTACGCTTAACGCCTTATGAAATACAACTTATTTCTCGTTGAAATCAAAATTGTGCTGTGAACCTCACTAGCAAACTAGTACATTGTAAGTCTGTGAATGAACTATGTTATTTATGATGTTGATTTCCGACAGTTTTTGCATTGCAAATGTTTTGTTTCGGATATTGCCCTTTACGAATATTTTTTGAATAGTCAGACAGAATTGAACCCTTAAAAAAAAGAGAACAATCGCTTGTTTGTTAATTCATTAGCGTTTTTCTTGCTGATGATGTTCCTACAGAATAGTAAGGGTGTTATGGCAATGAGGAGATGAAGATACGTGATTATTGATAACAGTAAATAATTCGATTTTTTGGGCAATTTTCTGAATCTTGCTCAATTTGACAAATGTTTTGTTGATATTGTCGGCTTACCACTGTTCACGAGGTCAAAAGCCAAACAAGCAGGTTGCTAAAAAATGGAACTTGACTCTCAGAGAGGACGGAGGACGGAGTCTCGGGATTTCAACACGGGTTGACTTTTGTTCCGGTGACCTTTTAAAATTTATCATTTATCAACTTCCTTTTTTCGTGAAGATTGTGTTTTTCGTTTAATGATCAATTATCTTCTGGAGTAATTTAAAACCTTATTAACTACAAGAATATTGGCTGATGGAAAGATAATGGTTGTTTGTAATTGTAATTGATGTTGAAATAATCACTACATGTTTACATACAAATTTTGACAACACAATTACCAAGTATATCAAAATTTAAAATGAAATTAGCGAACAGTGCAAATCTTCACAGAGAAAATTAACATACTGATAATAGTCTTTACAATAGCTAGGAGAAATGACTCCATTTTGTTGGTTACAAATGTAGCATACTACAAATGATGTATTTGTCCATTGTGGTTAAGATTAGTTAACAATCATTAGGTTGAAGAATTTATCCTAGTTTTGATTTAAAGCAGAATGAAGTGCAGTGCTCCAAGCTCCATTCTCTTCCACTCAACTGGCCATTTTTCCATATAAAACCATTTAATTGCCTTTGCAAATAATTTCTTAACAATTAAGAAATTATTTGCAAAGGCTATTAAATTATTTTAGATTGAAAAATGGTTTATGTAAATACTCATGGCTTTATGTTGGACATGCAATTTTTTATCTTACTTCTTGCTGATTTTAGACTTGAAACACCAAATACTAATGTAGTTGATGCTTTCCACATGAGCCCTGAAAACAAATCATTAAACTGGTGACTAGAGCAAATTTAGTTGCCAAAATGTTTCATTCCCTGCCAATTGGCAAAAGCATGTTCACTGAAAAGTAATTTGCATAAATTTGTTTACACATCAGGCCTATTTTTCAGTCACATAATGTTTATTGAGTAGAAAAGATCCAAGAATTCTTTAGTTGCTACACAGAATTATGCTGAAAAATTGTGATAGGCAGAGCTCTATTTTCTTTATTGTATTTTTTTCTTATCCTTCTTCTGCTTCTTGCTAAAATTCTCACTTTGAGAGTGCCCCCTCATTTAGAAGGTCACTGTTACCATACACTTCAGATCCAACATTGTAACTGGCAACCTATGGTATTGGCAAGATGAGTTGCACTTCTGTATCAAGAATGCTATCTACGATTCTATTATTTATCATTCTTTTTAAATATTCAATTCAGATTCTCTTCCATATCCTGTTGGGTTATATCCATTTAATAAAAACTATGAAACTGCTGATGCAAGCTGCTACGGTAACTTGAGGGGAACAGGTCACAATGTTCACCTCGCAACAGGCCCATTTGGACAGGCAGAAACTGCATATGAGTTTGCAGGAATTGGAACAAGCCATGTCACTATTCCACAAAGTCGTCATCTGGATGTGAAAACATCAATAACAATTTTAGTTTGGATATATCAAATGGATCATGCTGGTTCTGTCATACAGTATTTGAATAAGGATGGCGATGTTGGACTTTACACCTCAAGTACTACTTCATTGTCTGCAAAGTTTGCAGATCGAACTAGAAAATCTTTTTCATCAGTTAACAATGGTAATTATTCAGTTAGTCTTCAAAATAAGTGGCAATACATTGGAGTTTCTTTTAGCTATAACACTGGAATGGCAACCTTGTGGATAGATGGTAAAGATGTTCAGATAAAATATTTGGGCAAGTTTGAATTAAGCACAGACCATGATATTCGTATTGGGGGTGGACAAGGTAAAGGAGACAGTTTCCAAGGACGAATATCATGTTTACAGATCTATAATAGAGCATTAACGAAAAATGAAGTTGCTGCTGTGAGGAACAGATGCAATGAGCACAGTCTTGGTAGGTTCTTATAAAGTACTTCTCATTATTGCATTGTGTATGGCACACTGTATGATAAGCTGAGTTATAGTCGTGCAGTCTGATTGGTTTTTCCTTATGAACTAATTGAGGACACATGCTTTAATGATATCCCCATTAGCAACATTTTGCTTTTTTGTCATCTAAAACAAGTAGAATTTATGTTGCTATGTGTTTGTTCAGTAACAGATCACAGAAGACCTCGAAATGTGGTTAGAACATCAATGATAATGTCACACTTTGTGTACCAATTTTTTGTTTCTTACCATGTTATCCATTACATCATCTGTGATCTATTGAAGAACAGACATGCGGCAACATGGAGTCTATTTCTTAATAATTTCATGCATGTTAAGTGCACACACTTTACTCTGGCATCTTTTTATTCACTCTGGCTGTAGACTGCCCAATAGGTAAAATTATCATACTTTTACAATGCATTTGAAGGTGATCTACTGTTTTTTCCTCCTTTTTGTAAATGAGCTATCATTTTATCTTTTAAATGATGCTTAAACATTTCCCAGAACACAAAAGGACAGACCAAAACTAAATTTTATTCAAGTCAACATATTAATACATTGTCAAATAGAAAGATGATGAGAAGAAAGAAATTTGGTAATACTGTTTGATTTGACACCAAAATTTTAAACCCTAAATTGTATGAAATGTACTAATTGAAGCATGGCTGGTTGAATTTCAGAATAGCGTCAATATATAGAGTCAAACTAATAGCTAAGGTGATTTTGTGCTGAAGACCATCGGATGTAATAGAGCTGTGGTTTAAACAGACTTAAACCACTGTATATGTTTGTACTGTAACTATCTCTGTGTGTTAGGGCAAGGAAAATTGTTTAGATATCTTTAAAGTGATATAACAATCATTATTTTATTTTCTCAGCAACTCCAGTAAACTGCAATACAATTGCAGCACCAGGTAGGTTATATATATTTTTTATTATTATTTCACTTCATTGTTATTTATTTATCAAATAAATCGTGTGAATTAATCTAGATCATTACTTAAAGTTCTAAATTAATCTAAAACTTCTGGCACTAAAATTACCAGAAGTAAGTAGAAAGTAATTATAAGCATTTCTTTCATTAATCCCTGTGTTATTATTGTGAAAACCCCACCCCAGGCTGCAATTCAGTCAGATGCCTATCTAAAACCTTAAAGCAGTTTGTTTGTTTCTGCATTTGATTTGGTTAACTAACTTGAAAGGTTATTTGGGCTGCAATTAATGATACCATTCATGTGTGAGAGTCTGTCAGGTTATACTAAAACTAACCCTAAGCATTCATTTTACAAATATTGTAAATGTAGATCTTTTTTTAGTATCATTGGAAGAAGTCTTTGATTGACTTTTGTTGGAATTTTGTACTTTGATTGACAGCTGGATGTGGTGTTACCATGACTTCACTATCTGAGACATTCTACTCTCCTGGTTATCCTAAAGGTTATCCGTACAATGCAAATTGTGTGTGGGAAATAGAAGTTCCCAGTGGATTTGTGATAAGCTTGCAGTTAAGGTAGGTGAAATACAGTTATTTATCTTATGGCTAGGTAGACCTGAGGTAAATCTGAGCATTCTGATTAATTCTTTAACTTGGTCTGTATTTTGCCATATGGACTGTTCTTAAGCCATGTGTATTTTTGGTCCTGCATGGTGCCATATAATAAACTGCCTACAAACCTTACTTCCAATGATAGCCAATATTCAGTCATTTCTTCCTACATGATCAAATAGGGAGGTGATGAGTAGAAAAGTGACATCAGTCCAGGAGCACTGCCTGATTTTGCAAAGTTTTCTTGCTGCAATAGTTTCAATTTCTGTGTGGTGCGTGTGTGTGCAGAGTGCAGTGGAGGACTTGAATGTGGGAGGACTGGGAGACAAAGTTAATTGAGAAGCTGAAATGAGGATTTTAACCTGGTAGCACCTGATTTCAAAGCTACTGCTCTTATTACAACTACTAGCCAATTAATTGATCTTATTGATTGTATTTGACCATTAGGAAATTTTCTTTGGAAGTATCTTCCATGAAGTGGCCAAATTGCCCAGATTTTGTTATTGTTCTTGATGGTGTCACCAGCTGGTCAGAAAAACTCAAAGCTCTTTGTGGAGGGGCAGAGGGCTGGGAAAGGAAAATTGTTTCCTCTAAAAATGGTATGAGAGTGGAGTTTAAATCTAACAAAGATGGCTCAGCTCCAGGCTTTATGGCAACATACACAGCAACTCCAGTTGATGAAGGTAACCAAATTCTGAAAAAATAATCAATTTAGAAAAAAAATAATCACAAAACACTCAAACAAAATGTATTCACAGGCATCAACACAACCAATGAATTTGGTGTTATATGTGGATTTCTTCAATGACTTTGTGCCATTTGTCTGTTTTATACAAATTATATAAGGTTTTATGTGTCTGGCTATTGGCATGCAGAATGATGTTATGTAAGATTTCTCTTAATAAAACCTTTTCCCCAACAAAATAATTCACAGTGATGTCAAATGTAAACAGGCCCTAAGATAACAGGGAGGTTAGAAGTGACTTTGATATGATAAAACTATTTGTACATAAAAGGTTACAGCTTATCCTGTTCAAAAGGATGTACCAATAACTTCAATACCTGAAGATGGACTGTTCATTTGACCATTTTCTGCTCTTTTACTGATGCAATGTGATATGGTTCTCTTCAACCTAGCTTTTGATTGCTTTTTAGTTTTAAAAGAGGAAGATGAGGAAATGATTGACTTCAGTCGTCACTACACTGGAATTGTGATAGGTGTGGCATGTGCCGCAATCTTTGCAATCCTGTCAATCATTACATTTAGCCACACGAGGAGGAGATTACGGGAGCGTCGCCATGGCAGCTTGACACAGAGTGGCCGCAGACAGATCTCTTATTCTGACAATGACATCTTTCAACAAAATGCTCCACCCACTTATGATGATGGTAAGCATTTCATCATTGTTCTCTCTGAGGCAAACATTTGTGAAATAAAGAGAATTTACAAACTTGTAGATGAAAGGAGTCTACGAAATACATGAGCAAGTATAGCATTTGCATCTCTTAACAATAAAATAGTTGGCAGTTAAATCGTCAAATTCCAGTTTTATCCAATCTTCATATGTACAGTCATTGACCCAGAGTTGAGTTTCTGTAATCAGAGGATTGCTTCAGATGAAGGGAAGTGGTTAATTACTATATTAGAGTCTTCCTCTCCCCTGCTCCACCCATGGGACTTGGAAGTTTCTGTCTCATTCCTTCTCTCTTAGAGATGAGCTGGAATAAAGCAATTCTTCAGATGAAGCCAGTCATTCGTGCTACAATGTTCTGTTTCCAAGATTTCGGCTGATGGAAACAGGGCTAGGAGGCCCCCTAAGCCTAATCAAATGAAGAGGTCCTAATTCAAGTTTATTCTCTCTAGTGATGCGCTACCCAGAGCTGTACCCACCAACACCATGTCAAGGATCATTAGCCAATACTCCGGCAGCGACCCCAAGGAGGGGGTCCCCTGTCTCAACCCCTACAACACCACGCCGCTCTTTCGACAGACATAGATCACCAATGGTAATTCCGAAAGTTGGAACACCTGTGGGAATGCCACTTTTTAACCCACGGCAGAGACCTTCGAGTTCACTACAAAGTACCCTGAGTTTTTCTATGCAGCGTGGTATTTCCCCCCTGGCCCGAGCTGAATTGACTCCGCAGCAGTCCCGTCAAGCAGATCATCTGTCTTCCGATGAACACGATGATGATGACGACGATGATGAGCTGCCACCATACCCGGGTATTACGGGGCAACCTACGAGGGGAGATTACACTGCTCTTAGTATGGACGTTGATTCTGTTTTGGATCAAGTTAGAGAGACGTTGGAACAAAGAAGGTTCACTCTACGAAATGGATCAAACCCTTCCTTAAGTGACAATAATTCAGTGCGATCTCACACCAGTGTAACAGTGAATGCTCAAAGGAGTTCGCTGCCCTTATCTGGTGGTCTGAACAATTTAGGACCACTACAGGAAAGAACTGAACCGAGCAGAACTCCAAACACATCAATATCAAGTGTTGATGGTAACGGTTATGCTAATCCATGGGTATCTTCTAAAATTCCCCGCGGGAACAGATATGGAGGTATCTTAAGATCTATTGAGTCAGATGTATGAGGTTTAAGTACCGTGCGATACCTGATTTCAGGAGCTATGTGAGGGAAGATGTATTTACTAAGAGGCCTCAATTAAGACCAAACTTAACAGTCGTTTTAGACTTTCTTCGAGAGCTGAAAGAACGAATCTTAAAAAATCATTCAGTGTCGTCGTTTCTGAGGCACTATATTTATGACCTTGCGGTTCAGATGGTCATAGAATTTCCTGGTTGACTCCGTCTTGACAGTAAGTTAAGGGAGAGGAACTCCCCTAAATTGTCCACAAAGAGATACGCTGATTGGAAGGGGGATCTGTTTCAGACATGCTGTATTTAACCCTTTAACCCCTAAGAGTGACTAGCATCTAATTTCTCCTTACAATATCACCCCTGAATCACACACTAAGGTCATGAGAATAACGGAAATGATCATAAACTACAGAAACTCTGTTTTGGCATGCTAATTCTTCTTGTCAGCACCTTTGGAAATGTATAGAGAACAGTATGGAGAATATGCATACTGATGTTTGGGTGTAAAGGGTTAAAAGGAAGAGGAGGGGATCTCATGAGTTGACGTGTAGAAGAAGATAAGTTTTTCACGTCCGGTCTGTTTAAATGTTAGGCGGGTTACTTTAAAGAAATAGTATTCCAAATTGTTCCGGTATTGATCAAAACAGTTCTTTTGTATTTCCTTCCTCACTGAAATTTGTGTCTGGATAGAAAACTGACACAGTTTTTTTAATTCTAAGGTTATAAAGAGGTTACTAGTTTGGTCGGAAGCGGTATTTGAAAGATTAAGTGGCTAGAACATAATCTCATGGGTGAAGTTCATGTCGGACTTAGTTGGCCTGGGGCGAAACATAAACGAGCCAAAAAAAAGAGCTCCAAAGCTATCGTAAAACTTACTGGTCTCCGATGCCCTCCAAAATCTTCAGTTTTAAGCAGTACTGTCATGCCAGACTCGAGAACCATCGGATGTTATGAATTGCGTATGTACAGAAATCGAGTTATTTCTGCCTTATATTTTAAATTTGTATTGTTTGTTGGGAGAAAGTTAAATTAAAGCGTATATTTACCCGGATTAATATAATATAGAAGAGAGTTTTATCAAACATGGAATAAAATAAATAGTTATCCATTTTACTTTTGTCGAACAGTTTAATATTTAGTAACAATAACGGTTTTTTCTCACGACTTAACCAAATGGCGTACCCAGTACGCAGTTCTTTAGTTGAAACGCTTTCAATAGCCAAACGGAAAGCCATTTAGGCATTCAGATTAGAATAATTACACGACCGCTTATATGGAGATGAAAATTACAGGGTTTAAGGAGAGAGAATTTCGGGACTTTGATAACTGACCCGGCTTAATACAGGGTGGCCGCTTAATACGGTGCCGTTTAATACAGGTTCGACTGTACTACGTTTCTCCAGTGCTTCAATTTCGTTTGGCGCCGCTGTTTGTTGATGGTTGACCGGCTGGTGTGGTTCTTACATCTACCAGTTTGTTATCCTGAGGCACAAATAGGATACCTGTGTTTGTGTTTTAGTTCACATAATCAAGCAAATCTTAAAAACGTAGTTCATCAATACCTCACAGAGGTTGAAAAGTTTTAAAGGCGATCATTTAAGTTTGGAAGCTATGGTAGGATGAGCAACTGGATTAAGTGCTAGTCTGTTGTAATGAACTGATCTGAAGAAATAATGAGGATTCAAATAACCACCTTGAGAAGCGTAAGAGGTGAGAAGTTGAAGAATCATTATTTTGAAGTATTTTTAATTACAAGCTAGAATTATGGCCAACACAATTATTGTGTCTGTTTGCAAAATGAAACCAAATCTAAGTGATAGATTACCTCAAAATTGATTACTAGCCACCAAAAAGTTGAACGCTTAATTCAGTTAGAATAACGTGTTTCGACAACGTTATCAAGTGAAGGAGAGAAAACCATAACCAGCTGACTTCATTTAAATATTATGAACAAAGACCATGACTTGCGCAATTTCGCAAAAAAAAGAAAAAATCGAGCGACATTGAAACGATGATCTTCTCTTTCTTTGTGCAGTCGAAGATTCGTTGTTCTCGCTCAATTGAGAGGAACACCAAACCATCGAACTTTTGAATTCATTGATCAGTTCACTATAAAATGACAGATAATTTCTCCTTTTCCCCTCTTGATTTATGAGAACCTGACAAGACATACAGTTTGTGCCGTCAATTCAAGAAGCAGCTGATAGTTAAACAGTACAAATTGTTTCGATGTAGTTTTAGCTTTAAGAGTGGTGTGCGGCTACTTTTATAAGCATAGCGAGAAAAGCAAATGAAAAACTTCCAAAGCAATTATACGCGCGCACAGACTTCAGAAGTAAAATCTAAGTACCAAACTCAATTCACTTCTTAAAGTCAACGATGACTATCGTAGCACTGAAATTGAGTAAATTATCTATTCGTTTGGGAGACCATTGTTATAGAGACAGATAACTCCTGCTCCTATAAAATTTTTAATTATGTTATTGTTCTAGCTTCAGAGTACCTGGTAGAGAATTACAGCTGTTGCTTCAGTGTTTTGCTTTGTAGGAGTTACACTTAGTCTGATTGCGGGTGGATACTCAGAATATAGCGAAGACAGATCGAAACTGCGCATGCGGAGAGGTACATCTGTACTTTGCAGCTATTCGAGTGAAGCGCAACGCGTCGGATTGGAGGCTTTTGTTCGCAAGGTCAAAACAACCTACTACAAGATGAATCCAAACAATGTGGTTTATGACCCGGATTCAACACCTGAATCAGTCCGACGAGAATTCTTTCCATACAACTCCCATCCAAGCGCGATTCGAAGGCGAACGGACTCTGCGAGAGCTCTTTACCAAGAAGCCAATAAACTTGAGAACACAGTGAGTAGCAACAAGCTTAAGCCTCGCGAGAGCAAGGCAATAGCTCAAGTGAAGCACTTTCTACAAAGCAACTTTGGAGCGCCCTACGAAGAGAATTACTATGCTGGAGACTGGATGCTTGGACCTGGTTCATTCTGTTGGCATCCAATATGTAACATGGGCTACGATCTGCAGGCTCATTTTACCTACCAGGGGTGGGGTATACAGCCTAAGACGGAAGATGATGTGAACTATGTGATAGATCGGCTAAAGCTGGTGAGAGATTCGATATTGCAGTACATTGAAAACATGAAATACGGTATAAAGGTGGGATTTGTACGTTCAGCGGAAGATTGCCAATATGGATTGTACTCCTTACAGCGAGCCTACATTAAAGTTTCCCAACTTGGGCCCAAGGGTAGGTAAAAATTCATGGTTGTAGCAATCTTGTTTCAGCTTGATACGTTTCGGAGATCATTTGGAAGAGAGTGATTTTATAAAACGTGATAATAATTATAATGCACCTTGTCTTTAAAAGAAGCTGTAATGCTGCGTCGGTGGGAGGTATTTCAAAATAATTTGTTTTTATCAACAGAGTTGATAACGTACATTGACCACCGTAAAGAGTTTATAGAGCTGACGTTTCGAGTGTTAGCCCGTTTCCAAGGAGGAAAGTATTTTTAAAGCTTGGTATGGATCAAAAGCCACTCATTCAAATGTCATTGACCGAAATTAACTGCATCGTGAGACCAACGCTTACTCTTTTCAAACTTATGCGATTTTTTAGACTCATTGCTCTGATTCTTTATGTTTGAAGGTGTGCTGAGAGAATCTTTCACGCAACAAATTGTTGATCCAAAATGGCTGGCAATACTCGATAAAAGCGCCTTTGACACATGGGAGAAGAAACACAAGGTCTCTGTTAATACCTCCATAAATGAGGCTTTGGTGGCATACATAGGGAAACCGCTGGATAAGTTATTAACTTACTTGGCCTTCAACCATTCGCAGTACTGCGCCCCGAGTATATTGTCCAGCGGCTTGGCTTCGCTACCTTTATCGTACATTTACAAATATGGAAAAAATACGAAAATACGAACTACTGGAAAACTACCTACCGGAGAGTCCTTGAATGGAAAAAGAGCCTACGAGATGATGCTTCCTTACTTTACGACAATAGAAATGACACCAGATGAGGTGTATTCCTTAGGGGAGAGAATGCTTGGTCAGCTTTATCCAAAGGCGGTTGAAATTGCTAAGAAAATTACAAACAAAACATGTGAAGACCAAGCCATAGAAGAACTTAAGAAACATTTGGAAGATCGTAGCATGTATTTCAACGACGAGAAGATTCCACAGAACGAGAGTAACAAAGACGCATTTGATAAGTGCACTAGTATGGCGAAGGCAAAGATTTACTGTCCCAAGAGATATCAAGCTATGAAGGCGTGGTTTGAATATGTGAACTGTAAGTATTTTATCTCAAATAGAAATCACATATCGATGCATTCAGTCACTTTGTTTGAGGAACTTCAAGAAAGGAGTACTCTCGCATGTGGGACAATTACATCTAACAGGTCAGGCCTGCCAAAAGAAATCTGTGGCCTAAAAGAAAAGAAAGTAAAATAGCTTAAAAGAGTAGAGAGTTTATATAGGCAAAAGGGAAGTGTGTCATGTGTTACGTAACGTGACCGAAAATCAGTGAGCATTTTGGCTGCCATACTAAAAAGTAACTCTGGTTATTTTAACTAATGCCTAAGTTTTCCCCGTCATTTAATTATTTTATCCAGCTCTGCTTGGTGATCTCGAACCAAAAACGACTCACATGTTTTATTTCACTGGTGAACATCAAAGCACTCCAAATTGTCCGGTTCAGTTGGTCTCAAATTTCAATCCAGGGACTGGATCCCAGAGTTACAGATCCAGTGATAGCGATTGCACCAAACCTGCGCAGTATAGACTGCCGTTCTTTATGAAGGACCTGGGACCAAAATACAGTGCTCTCTCAGTTGCTGCACACGAGGCAAGGCCTGGGCACCACACACAGGTATACGCGGATAATAAGATATTTCTAACCGCACTTTCCTTACTCAGTCATGTAAATTTTTTTCTCACTCAACAATAATCAACAGATCATCACCGAAGTGGAGGTGGCTAATGGGAGATATTTACCGGGCCGCGAAGAGGCGAGTTAAATTTAACTGCTAGCCACCGACACTGAGGTGAATAGTTGTTTTGGTATGTACTTGATATAGCATAAAAAGATGATTTTAATTCATTTAGTCCAGCAAAGATTAAAATATTTTCGCACCCAAATTCCGCGCAAATACTTGGAGGTTAATAGCAAAAGATATTCGGAGTTTAAATAGCCAATCAGAGCGCCCATTCAACACTCTTCGCTGGTTTAGTATATTCTAAAGCCTGTTATCGATCATGTGTAGTTACTTACAGCATGGATCCCCACATTACGATTGCATACTGCTGATCTTCTTCTCTCCTCAGTTTACATTCTCTTTCAACAATATTTGCACCCATTGTGATGGGACACCTTTAGACTTACACAAATAAGATATATTCATGTATCCTGCTGTGGTTAGTCATATATAAACAGACGTAGATTAGAACCGTTTTTTCGAGTACCTCAGCGTTTTGTCGTCGTTTGGTTTACTAGAGTCAAGGTTTCAAGGAGTTATTTTATGACAAGTGCGAGGATGTTATCAGTTGGTTGAACGGCATCTCTTATTATACTGCATTTACGGAGGGCTGGGCTCTATACGCTGAGAATCCGCTGATCGCTACAGAGACAGACGCTTATGCCGACAAACCGCTGCAGCTGTATGGCATGATCAAGTGGCAAATATGGCGGGCACTGCGCTTGATGATAGACTCTGGGCTTCATTATAAAGGTCGGTTGAAGTAAAGAATTTTTTTGGTTTTTTGTCGAAAATATTCCAGGCCTGTATTGGTTTTTCTTTGCAGTACTCTACAATTTGTCTGGAAAACTCGTGTAACTCTTGCAACCGATCAGATACAAACTAAAGCAATCGCGACTGGATCATGCGTGTTTTTCTGCACTTGAAGCCGAATGCGCGTTTTTACATTCAAATCACATTTATTACTTCAAGCTTTGTTTCTGTGACACGCAATACAAAACAACTTCAGGAGTATCGAAACCCGAGCACTTGTCAAAACGTAAGTTGTGCGTATAACCTGTGTCTCTTTCACTTATACCCTTTGAGGATTGGCAATCTTATTTTCTCTCCAGGAATGAAACGACGGGAAGCGTTGAAACTCTTTGCCGAGAAAGCCTGGGACAGAACTGACAAAGCCGAGAAAGACGTTACAAGGTATCAAAGCAACCCGGGTCAGGCCACCGCGTACATGATTGGTCAGCTGCGGATATGGCAAGTTCGAAATGATACTAAGGCTAGAATTGAGGCACATAAAAAGACTTTCAAGGAAAAAGACTTTCATTATCAGGTTTTATCACAAGGATCCTCGCCACTGACTCATTTGGAAAGTCACATGAGGAAATTTGCGGACTGCGTCATTCAGCCACATTCAGAGGGTTGTGAATACATTATAAGGAGCCTAAGTGACGAAACAGTCATGGATGAGGTTACCAAGAAGCCCCATAAACCATTTCGAGACCAACCATATCAAGAACACTTTGATTGAATTTTGGTATAGAACGCTGTATGCAAATGAAAGAAATAACCTCCTCAATTATCAAACCACTTGGCTGGGGTTCAATGCCTAATATGAATAGAAAATGTTTTCTCTCTTGCCGCTGGAGAAGGTCTGCTGAAGCCAAAATATCTGAAATTGACCAAAAGCCGATAATCAGATCGTTTCAAAAAGAAAACTCGTCATATAAGAGCTTTTAATGATTCTTTGCCACTAATAATTCAGACACTTTTTGACTTCACCTTTCTAATGAGTTTTCCGCAAAAACTTTTAGCATGGGGCAAACGTGTGGGTGACTTTAACCAAATAGGCGACAAATCGACATCTAGCGAAACGAAGAAAAATTTGACGTTATGGCTATTATAAAAAACAACCAAAAGAAAAATGAAATTTGGAAAGTTCGCATATAGAGATCTCATATAACTTTCACAGAGCTACAGTGTGAAGTATTTAATCAATAAGAACTTGATTGCCAACGAAGTTTAAGGATTGTTGGCAATTTCATATTCGTTCTACACTACCGCTTGCAATTTATGGCTCAAAATTAAAACAACAAAAAAAACTCTCTCTCTAATCTAAGGTATCTGTTAGCGCGTGTTTTTTTTTTTCAAAGAACTTAGCGCAGCACATGTTTCAACATGTGTTATCGTAAGAACCATTATCAGAAAGCGTGCTAATTCATATTGGACATTTATACAACTCTTTGTTGGATATTAGCCGTGTGTTTATGTCGCTTTACTTAAATTGCTTTTCTTTTTGCGATAGAAAAAAAGTCGGACGATCACGAGGAGTGTGATTTTTCCTTTTAGGCCCTCCTGAGTGGCATGAGTATAGGCGTTAGATGTTTCGGTAACATTGCACGGAGCATCGAAACGCAGTTTCATTTTCATTCTTTTTACCCCCAGAATTGTTCAATCAGCCATTTTACCTTACAAAATAAATACTCTGTCAAAAAAAAAAAACGGGTTAAGAGGACGTAGGTAAACCTTACCGAGCCATCGGGGGCTGGGCTGGGTGGGGGTATGATTCGAGTTGACATTGATTTCTTAGAAGAAGCATTGCAAGAACGTATGATAGACAGTGCGGAGAATATTGGAAGGTGATGGTTTGATTTTGTTGATGTATGAGAATCAATTCGCACCAGGACGGGCAGCGCACAGCGCTAATAAATTGTCAATAGAATCATTAATTTAAAAAAAATACTGACCACAAGGTGGAACTAAACATTCGAGTCGTGGCATGAATAACGATTAACTCTTAATGGCACAACAGTACGAGAGTTTTGTTTACAAGGTATCATCTTGAGTTATAGAAGGGGGTAAGTTTCTGAACAAAATGTGGCGCTGTGTCGCTGAGAAAGTTTAACAGGGTAATTTAGTATTATACGGCTGAGTTGATAACGTAAATTGGCTTCCGTTCTAAACTCTTTATGGCGGACAATTTACGTTATCACTTCAGTTGATAATACTAAATTGTCCTATCTTCAATTATATATTACTGCCGATTTTGATCTACGACCAAAAAAAAGGAAAAAAAGGGAAATATATGAGAAATAAAAATTGAAGAGATGCAAGGTTACACTATACGGCTTTGAATTCACACAAGCAAACATTATCTCAGTTCAACACAGAAAGTTTAAAAGGAAAGGAAAAAGACGCCCACGTTTCTTTGCACGACTCTGAATTCATACGAATAAACATTGTCTCAGGTGGCTCAAGACAGGAAGTTCATTCCTTTGCGCTGAAGCCACGTAATCAATGCTTTAGCTGAAACGTTTATCGGTTCCAAAGGCTGCAATGCTAATTGTGGCTAAAGATTTTAACTCTACGTGAACAGCAGCTGCCAGCACGACTGAAAACCGGCCGAAGCAACACGTGTTATCATTTATTTAAGCAGCTCTTCACAATAAAATATCAGTAGTTTTTATTTTCACTTCTTAACTTCTAAAGAACACATGATTTTATTATTTTAATATGTGACCGTAGGTGACCCCAGTCTTTCACTTCATTGGGTTCCAGCTGATTCGTGCAGACTTTCGGAAATTTTGAATTTGGAATGGACTGACGAACATTGAACGGGATGATAACTGTGATAATATAACTTGGAAACATTGCTTACGGTTACAGAAAAAAGGGAAACTGAAAAAGGGTGCTGAGCTCAAAGATACAAATATGACAAGAAGAGACGAATCTGCGAATCTACTAACTTTTTCTAGCTTACAGTAGAATAATTCGTTATCTGTTAGATGTTTTAAATATCTTTTCTGTTACAACGCGTGGGAGAGTGTTTCTCATTTCAAGGCTGAAGCTTGATCACATATTCTCTTTCCTTTCAGCTTGAAAATTATCTCTCAAAACAAAAGTGTTGAAACAAAAGCAACGCCAAGAATGTTTCCCGAAGCATGGACGAAGACATTTTTCACCACCTGAAAATTTTCTCCATCACGTTTATTCACGCAATCATAAATGATAACACAAATGTCAACTCTTGCTCCTCGTCGCACGTTGATATATCAGATATATCAAATATCAGTAGGCATGAAAGACGACCCTGCTAGTTTGACAAGATCGTGACAACGTGAAATAATACCATCTCTCTGCTTTCAGGTACGTGATAGGTCTTTAGACTCCGGTGTCGTAAATCGTGATCAAAGAGAAAGAATTGCTTTAATTTCTCCCTCGCATTGGGAACTAAGGTCACCTCATGTGAGACTCCGAGGAAGCTTAATATTATTAAGCTATCTTATTAGAATTAAGAGCTTAATTTTCAATTTCATCACTCACTTAGAAGTCCACGCATCGGCGCAAATCGTTTTAGCTCTATAAATTAGAAGTATTTCAAAAATATAAACTGAAGGAAAACCTCATCTGTGCTCAAATTTTCCCACTCAAGTAACTATACTAGAAAAGAATAAAGGGGGTAAGTTTCTAAAGAAACTGTGGTGCTGCGTCGGTGGGTGAGTATAACAGAGTAATTTAGTGTTAACAAATGAGTTGAAAACATAAATTGACCACCGTAAAGAGTTTAAGGCTGACGTTTTGGAGCGTTAATCCTTCGTCAGAGCTCTGGACGAAGGGCTTAACACACACTAAATTACCCTATATGAGAAAAGGACTGAAGCTTCCGTCATATTTTTAAAAAAAAAACTGAAAATGATTTAGTGTGAAGTGAAGTCACACCATAAAACCAACCGACTAGAAAGCCGATAAGAAAGTACTCTCTTAATTCAATGAATTGAAAGTAAACAATCTACAATATGATTCTCTTGCTACCATCTTAAGAGAAAAAAATTACGCATATTCTGGCAGGAAATCAAAGGCGATGATGTGTAACAGAGTTCAGATTTATGTTGGATAAAAGCTGCCCTAATATTAACAACTCATTATTGAAACAAATCAAGTAAAGGAATAGTCAAGGTTGTTCTATCGATGGACGTTACGAAATTGTGATTCATCACAACAAAATTCCAGGAATTTAGGCAATACACAACATGATCGAAATTTTGCGATCCCGGACGATCATATCGTATACTTAAGGGTTCCAATGAATTTTATTTGAAACGCGATCTAGATAGGTCTGCTGTTTCCCATCTTAATACCTTCCTCTCATTTTAGAAAAATTCCATCATAATTTAAACTTGCTTAACAAACGCTTTTTTCTTCGTTTAAAAGAGAGCTTTTTGTCCATCGTTTAAAAGAGTGCTTTTTGTCCTTTACTGTTCCCTTCCGCGTTCCACTATTCCACATCCTGATTTTACGACGATACGTTGTTATTAAATCCAATGGAAGTCAAGCGGAAATGAGATATCTTATTGGGATACAATATCCTCATTTCAATGGGCAAAAAGCCACAATGGGCGCTATTTAAATTTGGCGTGCTTCGTACGAGGCTATTTCACCTTACAAGCGGGTACAATTTGGAACTAAGCAATTATTTCCTACTGCGTAACTGATGGCAAGTAACGTCATCATTACATCTGTTATCATCGCTGTTTTCTTAGTCGGCTTAGCGCAGAAAGGTGAGTAAGGAAACGAAATAGGAAGGTTTCTTTGCTACATTGACAACATTTTAAAAGGATTTACATTTCATGTCCATATTTTCATCTCTTAATCGGTCGTCCCTTACAGTTTGACCGTTTATCAAACAAACAAGCGATTATTTTCACAAACGCCGTTGTTCAATGATGAAAAATACACATGCAAACGCTGAGAGGTGAGTGGTTCCGCAACTCTACCTAAAATGGCGGCACACTTCCTCTCAATAGTCTCAAACAGATAAACATCGAAGCGCAAATCCGAAGGTTTGGAGTTCGATTCCTTACTTAAGACTTGTTTTATTTTTTCCTTTATCCCATGCTCGAGACTATCTTTCTAAAATATACCAACAAAACCCACCAGAAAAGGTGGATAAATAAATGAAAGCATAATCTGTCGAAAAATTTCCGCTAGTCTCATTTAACGTATTATTTTCCTTTCTTTCTGAATCTTAACCCCACCTTGATTGCCATATCAGATTTAATTTAAAATGCGAAGATACATCCTTCGCTGAATCACTCACTGAAAATTCAAAAAAAAATTCATCTCTGGTTTACCACGTGATAATTCGTTCGAACGACGGAGATTTAGTTGCGAAATTCCCTACCCTGTCTCTCTCACAGGCAGCCACCCTGTTTGACAATAGCGACACATGAAAGAAATACAATGAAATGAAATGTGTTACAATTACGAATAAAGCACCAAATAAACTCATTCTTCACGCAAAATCACAGGAGTACAGCAATCTGGTGCGTGACCACGGTTCGTCACGCAATGCTTTGAGAGAAACGAAAATATTCCCAGCACTTTCAAAGATTTTATTTTTGACTGAGAAAGAGCGTTTGACACTTTTCTAAGACTTTTTAAACTCTAATCTTTTGTTGAATACAACTGATACAAGAAATGCGTGCGAACTGCGCGATTCCGATTTGAGAAGCCACGTGACTCAATTACAAGTAAACATTATGTGGCCGTAATTTTCTCTTGGATTACGTAATCCGATAAAATGGCGTGCAAATCCTATCTCTAAGAACTTTTGCAATGTTCAATAAAATCAGGAGCTCTTGAAAAAAACCTATCTTCCGTTTTATCTCCTGAACAAAGGAAAAACTTTATACAACTTTCCCTGGAAAGACAGTAGGAGCCAACCTACAACTTTAACAACCTATGCTTATTTTAAATTGTTCATTTTTCTCCTCAGGCCTCTCCTTAAGTTGCTACATATGTTATTCCACAATTTCTTGGGAGGATTGTTTTAACAAGAGTACGGTTCGCAACTGCAAGTCAGGTGCTGTAGCGTGCGTTAATACTTTTACTGCTGTGAAGCAGAAAGATGATCGACAAAAATTCCAGTTCACTGCTTATTGTGATTTTAAGGTAGGATGATGGGAAGACTTACCCTGAGATATACTGTTTCATTTGGTTGGACTCGCACATGCCCACAACAGTGCGACCGATTTTTGAAAATTTTTCATAAACTTTTCAAAAGCTGTTGATG